AGAGAAGTTTCCAAATCTGGATTTGAAAAGTCTGGCTCAGACCTTTTAGGCCAAATTCTCCCACTGACCACAAGAGGCTTTCAGGAGCTTCAATGGGAGATGCCTACAGCCATGTAACATCAGAATTTGAACTTCTGTATTTATTCTATTTTCTTTCTTCATCTTGATTCTGAGTGTAGACAACTGCTGTGCAACTCCAATGACTTTAGTGGAACTATTGCTGATTTTACACCAACGTACATGAGAACATAATCACACTCTTAATTTTTCCTAATTATTCTCCATAATTATACTTTACACTTTAAATAAGAAAGAACACTGCCAGTTTTTCACTTATAAACAGCATTAAAAAATAAAGCTAACCCTGAATTGATAGCTAAAATCTGTCCAACATTTAAGCTATTAGCATCCAGTAGTTTTCTACCACATAACATTCATGACCATGAGTCACATTATGCTAAGCAAGAATTATACAGCTATCAATTCAAACACTTGCGGGTAAACATATTGAAAATAGTACCCGGGGGTGGCTCCAGAGATATCATAATAACACTTGTGCCCATGTTTTTTGCAGATTGTTCTAAAAAAAAATCCCTACTCAATTTCCGGTACAGATTGTTCTGAATGCACTGCAGCAAATTTTTAAAAGATAATGGGGGAGAGGTGTGAACTGGCAAAACAAGTTCTACCCTGTAGGCACATGTACATTCATATCTCAGGAAGCCAGGGTTTTGCTGCACTCCAGTTCACAAACATTCGCATTTGGAAGCTGCAACAAAAGGTTTCCACATAGAAAGAAAAGCTTGGTTATAGATCTGTCTGTCCTTTCTGCACAGGAGTTACAGAATCTGCTGGGGAAACTGGCACTACAAATGTATGCTGTAACTAACAATAAACGTTAAGTGTGTACTTTGCATTGATCCTCAAGCAAAGTTACTCTCATTCTCTGCTATAAGGTTACTGGGTTCAGTGTGGCTTGTAAATCTGCTCTAGCATTATTTTGTGCTCGATTTTCTGAGAAGTTGTAAGCCTGTGCAGGATCAAATCCATAACTCCTTACTCAGTTTTCACTCAGTCTTTGTTCATTTCAAATTCCTCACTTGTCATGTTCCTGTAGCAGATATGAACTGGTACAGAGCTTCCTTATACACACTAGATGTTCTTTATAAGATCCTTTAATGCTCTGTCAGGTACAGCTGAGGGTAGCTGTAAATAACATTTTCACACGCAACCCTCATTCACAGGCATTCGCATATCATTAAGAAAGCAAGTCAGTGATGTGTGAATGGTGAAATGTCAGGTGTAGTTGAACACTTGGAGATACAATTACAAATCTGTGCCAAGGTGATCAGGACTTTGGTTGTTCAACCTTGAATCCTGAGCAGCAAGGATGTTCAGCAATTTCTGTAAAACAAGAGCTCTTTTTTGTGGTGACATGGAACATACAAGCCTACTGGACAGAGATAGCACATCAAGATCTGAAAGATGTACAGTATTAATTGCAAAAAACCTGCTAGATACAACAATACCACAGCTTGAAGTAAAAGCAAAACCAGTCTTGAAGATAAAGGCTCCGTAATGAACTACAGGTGGCTGTAACTTTTGTTGCAAAGGGAAACCAGGAGAGAAAGACACAATTGGTGTTACTGGTTTTGCCATTAAATACAGCCTCCTGAAATCACTGAAAATGCTTGCCTGTAGGCAAAAATGAACACCTAATTACTCCACAATTTTCCATTGGAAATTCATGATACTGTGACTCTTGGGGTATGTCTAGACTGCATCCCTCTGTCAGTAGAGGGATGCAGATTAGGCAGGTTGACATTGTAAACGAGGCAGGGATTTAAATATCCTGTGCCTAATTTGCATTAAAATGGCTGCTGCATTTTGCCGACTCAGCACTTTGTCGGCAAAAAGCAGCAGCCTAGAGGGGGAATCTGTCGAGAAAGAAAGCCTTTTTCAACAGATCCCTTATTCCTCCTTAAAGGAATCTGTCGAAAAAGTCTTTCTTTCTCGACAGATCCCCCTCTAGACTGCCGCTTTTTGCCAACAAAGTGCTGAGTCAGCAAAACGCAGTGGCCATTTTTATGCAAATTAGGCGCAGGATATTTAAATCCCTGCCTTATTTGCAATGTCGACCTGCCTAATCTGCATCCCTCTGCCAACAGAGGGATGCAGTCTAGACATACCCTTGTTGTGCTGCAGCCATGAATAGTTAAAAGAACAGTTCTACTCTGATTTGGATGATATAACCCAATGTATACTCCATGAAGACAAACTCATACTTCTGGGAGGCTTTAATGCCATAGTTGGAAAAGACAGAAAAAATAACAGGAATGGTCTGCTACTCAGCAAGGGTGCTGAGCATGAGATCGTTATCACTCACAGAATCTTCAGGCAAGCTGATGAATATGAAATTTTGTTGATGCACACAAGATGCAAGCACCTGATTGAGTATGTCATTACATGGCAGAGGTCTCAGTGGTCTCAAGACCTCCAGAGCAATGTGAGGCGCAAACTGCTGAACTGACCACAAAACGAGCAGAGCCATTTGTAATTTCCACTTTGTTGCTCTGCATTGAAATGATGCTGAATAGATTAAACCACATTCGAACACAGCAAAGTTGAAATATCCACTTCATCAAGAAAAACTAAGGGAAAATGTAGAGGAAAATATGATAGCAGTGCATCATCACCTCATACTTGCAGCTGGTGAAACAGTGTCAGAGAAGCTTCAAACAGAAATTGAATCAGGATTTAGATTGGACTGGTGCAGCACAGTGATGGTATTTGTTGTGAGGCAGTCAGGAAACAAGCATTGAACAAACATGGAACTACATGTTGTCTTCATTGATCTAAAAATAGCGTTTGACACTGTGAACAGAAATGGCCTCTGGAAAGTTTTAGAAAAGTTCAACTGCCCAATGAATTAGCATTGCATGCTAATTCCATGAAGAAAGATCTGATCAAGAACTCTCAGATGGTGACCGCTCTAATCCCTTGTCCATAGCTAACAGGGTGAAACAAGGCTGTATCCTGACACCGGTCCTCTGTGGTCTCTTCTTTGATTTATGCAAATATAGATGCTGTCAAAAAAGTAAAGTACATTGCTGATGGAGAACTCTACTATATCACTTTGAGGCAATCATTGGTGAAGCTCTCTTTGCAGATGTTTTTGCTTTACTTAGTCACAATGAAACTGACTTACAGCTCATCCTTGAGAGGTTCTCAGAAGCCCCAAAATGGTTTGAATTCACGATCAGCCTGAAAAAAAAATTGAATTCCTCTTCCAACCAGCCCACCAACCACTACTGCTGAGCCAAACATCAGCATTTCTGGTACAAAACTAAAGACTGTCAATTACTAAACATATCTCCACTGTAATATCTCAAACAATGGTTCCCTGAATCAAAAAACTTTGAGAAAGACAGATGTGAAAAGCTGATTGGAAAAAAAAAAAGCCAAGCATCATGCCAAGTCTTTCTGCAGCATTCCTAGATGACATGTGCTCATGATGTTACTCCTCACAAATTGGCTTATCTAGCCATAAGAGAATACATGAGATGCCATGACATCTTTGTTAGATGTGATGGACAGACATTGTTGTTGAGGCTATGTGGAATGATGTAAAAGTAGCCTCCTAAGCTGATAGCACTATGTAACACTTGCCAGGTAAGATCTTACAATGCGCTTATTAAAATCAGAACCTCTTCTTATCTCCCTTACTCTGAATGACTTTTTATGCTTTGCTACACTGAAATTTAAACATCAGTATGGAGAGACTTCTGAACTCTTCAGACTTCCTTCACTGGGTTTGTATTAGCGTTGCTGTCTTGGTTTTATACTGTATTTTATTCTTTCACTTGGACTCAGTAAAATGTGCATGTACAACATGAGCATCAAATGCAAATGGGCAGGTCTGTTAGTTTAAACAATATCTGCAAAAGCCAATGTCAGGAACAACATCATTCTCCCAGGCACACACAAAGAATGATCACCTCAATATTTTACCACAAGTAATTTAGCATTTGTGAGCCTCACTACGAGCAAAAATGGTTTCCATTATAACCCATTTTTTCACATGCTCATAATGGTGTGAGAATTCTGAACTGTGAACATTCCTGTGACTAATTTACAATGTGTTTAATAGTAAATAGGGCTAAGTGTGAATGCAGTTTAAAAAATATCTTTGACAGATTATTCCTAACATCCAACTTATTAAAACATTTATAGGAACAGGACATGCCTATATGCCATAAAACTGATTCTGTCCCTTCTCCAAATAACAGCTTAGATAAGGAGTAATTCTGTGTTTCTTCATTGCAAAAAGGTGAATTCAGACTCAATTCCCCCCTTGGCATGCTGCTGCAAACACCAGTTCATCCCAGTGTAGATCCATTTCCAGTCAATTGCATGTCAGTGCAGCGCTCATGTTAAACAAGCAGAGACTAATTAAGAGTTTTTGCTGGTATAAGCACTATTTGGTGGCAGTGAGGGTGGAGGAAAGGAGAGAAAAATCATTTAAAAAGCATTTACTTTTCAGTTCATACCTTTAATTAGCTGCATAACTCCAGGGACTATAATTATCAAAATTGCTACGAGCTTGCAAAAGGTAAGGATAATCTGGATGCGAGCACTCCAACTGACACTCATGCTATTCAGGACCATTACCACTGCTGCGAGAGAAGACGAGAGGAAAAGTTAAACAAAAGTGTTCATCACATCGACAGTACCATACATTAGAAATGGAACAATGCTGAACAATGGGTGCTTATACATGAATAAAAATGGAGACAACCTAATAACTTTTTACCTCTTTTCTCCTCACCTGCCCTCTCCTCATTCTACGCTAAATGCCTCAGCTGAATCCATCTTTCTGTCCCACTGCTCCAACCATCAATCTCTCCATTATCTGCCTGGCTTTCCATCTCAAATTTTAGCCTGTTGGTAATAAGTGGGCTGATACAACACTGCTTTTGATTTAAAACAAAAAAAATAAATTGCACAGCCCAGCACTCTGGATCTCAGTATTAATGTTGGTTTGGTTGTAGATTTGCATTTTTAAAATAATAATTAGTAATAAAAATAAAGCTGCTCAGACTCACTTAGTCCCTGCATAAATGTGTCTGTAGCTACATCTCTGGCTTTATTTCCACTTACTCTTCTTCTCATTATTAATCCTCTTTTAGAACCCTGTTGCACCAGGCACAAAGGGAGCATGATGCAAGGAACCTCCCAGCCAACTTTGGGCATTCTCGGACTGTTAATGTTGCTATATCCATAGAGGCGTTGCAATCCTTCAGTGCTCAGTTTGGGCCTGTGTCAAGCTCATATTCAAAGACAGAAGAAGAAGGAAATATTCTTGCATCCTCACCCCCAAATTATGTACCCTAGCCATTAGGGCAAGCACACTTTCCTTTTAACACTGACTAACACAGAAGATGAATAACGAAGCATCTAATTTTATCACAATTATTCTATGTAATGATATGCCTGTAGGAAAAGAGGAGATAAAGCTGTATTAGTAAATGAATAATTATATAGAGCACAAAAACTTATGGCTAGTCAAAAGAAGAATACGTTTTTTAATCTCTTGCTGGAGGAAAGGGTGAATGTGATAGTTAAAGCCCATCAATTGATTCTCTCTCTGTTTCCATCTAGAGGGACTAATTGAATAAGCTTAACATAAGAATCCTTCCTTACTTCAAAGCCTTAGGAGCACTGGTTTATCTGGATTACTGGCTATCTCACACACCAATGGACTTATAAAATCACAACTCAGGAGTGCCCATTCAGAGGCTGAAGCTTGGAGCTTAGCAAATGTCAGTGCAGGTATTGCAGGTCTGGCCCTGCACAGACTCTCCAGTGCCTAGAATTGCTGTTTCATCAAGTGTCTTTACAAGTTAGGTCTAGGACTACAGATGATGCTTAACCAGCAAAACAGACCAAGGTTTTACTGTACTTCAGAACTGCGACAGTATCATTTGGGCTACAACAAAAACTAAATTGTCTGACTTTTGCAAATTTCCTTATAGTTCAGAATACTTAATTTCTACATGCATACTTGGATCTGGCAATACATATAATATGCTGGGAGTCTGATCCCCCTCAGTGATACCTGACATTGATATTACCTCAGTTGATTTAAGTGTTAAAAGTTCCTCTAGTTCTAAAGCAAGGTAACACTAGTTCTGAATCAGGCCCTAAATGCTTACATATGTCGGACTCACTTGTTTGTTGATCATATACATTTTTACAGTGTAAGTTTTTGAAGCTACCCTTAAATATTTATTGAAAAGTAAGCAAAATATACTTTAAACAACTGATTACCTACACTATGAAAATCCAACATCAGTAGCTATTCAGTGGCTCATTTCAAATTTTCTAGACATTTCAGCTTAGAGTTGTATTGTGGCTCTTGTTCAAGACAAAGCACAGGCAGGGGGCACAATACAAATATAAGATGAAATTTTCAGCCCAGCATTTTAAAACTTACATTCAGCTTATGCAAAGTTCATGTTCCATGCCAGGAACATTCAGTTACACAACTCAGAACGTAGTAAGCAACATGAGCAACTTTGCCTCAAAGAAAACTGTTCGGTACTCACCGTTTTTTAGTAAAGTGATCAATTTTCTTATATGTGCATCAGATTTTTAACATCTGGTAAACAAGTAACAAGAACTAGAGGTGTTCATACAGATTATGTCTACACTGCAAGAAAAGACCCATGGTAAACCCAGGCAGGCCTACCAATGGGGGCGGAGGGTGGAGCGATCAAATGCCCCAGGGTCCAGTAATTTAGAGCAAAAGCAGCATGCCCACATGTCACATTATTGGATTCTAAAGTGAGCAGCAGATTACTGCTGCGACCACGGGTGGGGAGGGGGATTTGCCCCAAATTCGGTACAAAGTGAACCATGTGAGGTGTCAAACAAAAGCTTATGCTCTACTGATTCTATGTATGCTACTCATGTACTTGTGTGATGTCTGTATGTGAAGTTATGAATATGGACTCTGTGCTGGTACTGTGAATGCTCGATGTCAGGCAGAGAACAATGGGCCTGGACTGTCTGTCATGAGGAAGGAATGTCCAGTGAATGACTATTCTAATTAGTATGGCTCTAGGACAATGGCTCTCAGAGCGGCCAATACACACCTGAGGAATGCAGCTGGAAACCTACAAACCAGCCAGGACATAATGGCTGCTGGTATGTGAAACACAGATAGGTCACTTGACCATGTGACCAGCTCCAGCATGGGAGACACCAGGAATGAATATAAAATGCCATGAGGTGGTCTTGTCTTCAGTCTTGCTCCTGCTTCCGGATGCAGCCTTGCTAGGGACAGAGAGCCGGGAAGGACTACTGACCCATCCTGACATAGGATATACAACAAAGACTTCTAAGCTAGCAGTTTGTAACATCTCTGCTAAGAGCCTGCATCAAGAACTCGGTGATTGATATATGTAATGTATTCTCCTTAACAATCTTACTCTCAACCTTTTCTTTCTTTTATTAATAAACCTTTAGATTTTAGATTCTAAAGGATTGGCCCAGAGTGATCTTGTGGGTAAAATCTAAGGTATAAATTGACCAGAGATCTGTGGGTGGTTCTTTGGGATCAGGAGGATCTGTTTGGGGTAGGTGAGATTGGGTTCTATAACCTCTCACCTGTGTGTAGGCCCAGGCTGACTGTGGCACAGGGAAAGCTGGGCTGTCTGAGGGGTTTTGCTCTTGAGGTTTCCTGCTGGCTGGATTGGAAGCTGAAGCGCTCTGTGTGATTGGTTTGTGGTCTATTTGGGAAAGGTCTCCAGACGAGGGTTGTAAGTAGCCCTGGTTTCGAGCAATTTGCCCTCAGTAGATGCCCTCAGTGGTGCCCAGACCCGGCCCGGTCCGTCACACCACAGCTCTACATTGTTGGTGGAGTGCTACGTGGTGTGCTCCGGGCAGCACTAAGAACAGATGGGGGGGGCTCCTTCTGCCCAAAGCCCCATCCTTTCTGTGAGCACAGAGCCGCCACCCCTACATACAGCTTTCCTAGGGGTCTAGTCAGCTCCCCTAAACCCAAGTCATGTGATTTGGGCTCACACAAATCCATAGAGATAAAATGTTGCAGTTCAGACATTCACCGCAGAGGTCTCCAGCAAGGAAGGTTTCTGAAGCTGGACTTCAGTGCAAGCCTGAATAGGGTTGCCAGGTGTCCGGTTTTGAACCAGACAGTCCAGTATTTGAGCTTTCTGTTTGGGAAACAAATTGAGAAAATATAACTGAGAAAATATAAATGTCCGGTATTTTCTAAATAAGGTGTAACGTAGATTGTGATGTAATGACAAGTGTGTCCGGTATTTTTGTTCAAACCATCTGGCAACCCTAAGCTGAATACAAAATATTGTAATTTTATTGCCCTCTGACCTGAGCCTGTGAACACGTCAACTGACCAAAGGTCTAAGACTAGGGGCCTCAGCTTTTTTATTGCCGTTTAGACATACCTATTGGTTTAGCTCATGCACAAATCACAAGCCATAAATTCATAGGAGGTGTGAAGGGGCATCTGTTTTGCACTGGCCCTTTAAGGGTTAAAACCCAGCCCTGGGAGAGGGCTGGAACTGTGGAGCCAGCAACTGTGTCTAGTATGAGCCAAATAGGACCCAGCTGAGGGCTGTATAAATAAAGGCTCCTGGCAGTGTGGAGACAAACACACTCTTGCTCTGGCTGGAGAGCAGAAGGGACCTGGCTACCAGGGAAACTAGAGGCTTTCTGAGACAGGGCACTGCTGGGAAGAGGCAGTCAGAGCTAGGGAGCTCTGGCAAGACCTCACTCCCAGGCTGCAGGGCCTGAGAATACTGGGACGGTAGTTAGAGCAGGACTGGGGAAAGGCAGGCAGAGCTGGGAAGTCTCTGGCCATGCAAGCTCCCAGTTCTGCAGGGCCTGAAGCAAGGCCTGAGTATACTAAGGCTGCAGAGAACCAGCAAGGGCAGGCAAAGGCAGCAGGTCCACACCCCCTTTCTAATGATAAGTGGCCAATTCAGGCTGCAGTTTTCCCTAGTGGTAGGGGCTAGATGAAGACTGGCAGTGGGTCACTGAGGCCAGGAGGGAATTGGGACCACCCATATCCACCTGACCCCTGAGTCTTAAGTTCTTTGACTAGCCCAACCTTCTGTCCAATGTCCACACTGTCATGTTTAGCACACAAGGTCTAGCAAAGCTAGGACAAGTGTGTCTACCTGCAGTATTTGCACTTGTGGCTTATAATGGCCGTGTGATTTTAGAGGAGGGAGCAGATAGCGGTAAATAGAAGCTATGGGGGAAGACCTGAGCAGGATAAGGAAGAGGCTATAACAACGGTGCCAATTATCAAGCTAGGAGCTGTGTACCAGATCAAGAGTCCCTAGGTAGCATCCGAGTGGTTTGCATCCACACCTAGGTTACGTCTAGACTACCGCGTTTTGTCGACGGAAGTTTTGTCGACAGATATTGTCGACAAAACATCCATCGACAAAGAGCGTCCAGACACATTGAGTTCTGTCGACAAAGCAAGCTGCTTTGTCGACAGAACTCCGTAGTCTGGACGCAATGTTACAGGCAATAACACCTTCTGTCGACAGAGTTCTGTCGACAGAAGGTGTTATGCCTCGTAAAATGAGGTATACCAGCGTCGACAAAACTGCTGAGTTCTGTCGATGTTATGTCAACAGAACTCAGTGGTAGTGTAGACGCTGGTATAGTTTTATCGACAAAAGTCCACTTTTGTCGACAAAACTAGGTAGTCTAGACACACCCTTAGATCCTACTGTCATTTGCCATAATGACTATGAATTGTGGCATGGAGGTTCACAGGATGCCAGCGCCTTATAGAGACACCCCATCATGAACTGATCACAAACAAAAAAGTGTCAGGTTTTTTTGTTTGTTTATTTTCAGGAAATCTTGGTAGTTCCACACAGCTGTGCTCACCATTCTTTCCCAGAACAATATGGCTTGTGTTTAGGAAGGAGTTTATATTTGGATTATTTGATCCTGGAGCAGAAATCAAAGACAAAGGAAATGTGAGCCAAATACTCAGGGTAGCCCTCAACTACACATGAACAAGTGAAAACCTCTTAAATCATACATGAACAGCTGATCCATTCTCAGATGATAGCTTCGTACAGTTGAAACCTGTTTACCTTCTCATTTGATATGGAGCACAAATAAAGTGAATAGAACTGGCTCAGTTTATAGTGTATATATGCTCAGGTTACACAGTAATAACACAATTCAATATACTTATATAATTAATTTAACCCCAAGAATGCATATTTACACACTCAAACACTGCTATGCTCTGTGTGTAAATAGCATTCACTCTCTCTGTCCTAGAGTTGAAATTACATGAAATATAGGCCATTTGGCCCTGCAAACTCTGTAGTGAAGGGATTTGGAGAAATTGCAAATGTGAAGGCGATGCTCAGCTTTCATTTAAGAAGAAAAAGTATGTTTTTAGCCCTCTGCCTTGCAAAGATCAACTTGGAAAGCACAAACTGACATCAAATGATTGTTAAGTTTGAAAGGAAGAAGCAGCTAGGTTTCTCTTCTGTAGCCAGAGCCTGGGGCAGAGGGAAGAATCTGAAGATTATCCTCCATACAAGCATTTTTATGTATAATGAATCATTTAAGCTTCGGGTGTAGTCACAAAGAATTCTCTCACAAACCCTCACTAAAATCCTCAGGCTGGCTCTGGGCTTGGAGGCCAGGCAATTGTGGGCAGTAGATGGTGCTACTTGGTGTAGATACAAGCCATATGCATTCAAAGTCTGCCCTAAATTGCTATGGTTTGGTATGATTGCCGGGGGAAGGGGAGGGAATTTTGTATCTAACATGTTCTACAGTGCTATAAAATAATAAATAATTAAGTAATGAGGGACACTGTCCAGGAGCTCAGTTTTAGCTCTTATCTGAAATATGGCAACTGCAGCAGCATGGTGCCCCCTAACACAATATAGGACACAGTTTTAATGCCACTCTAAATATCACCATCTGAATCATTAACATGACTGTGAATTTTTCTGGGAATCTTCCCATCCAAATATTAATCCAGCCCAACCCTTTTTATCTGGTAAATCTAGCACAGGGAGAAGATCAAAGGGTAAGGCGGTAAGCCTACAGAACAAAATCTCCCTTATTACCAAAATGCACAGTGCAATCATGCTTCCAAATATTTTATTCCCATATCAAGTGCTAAAGATAACCTGGGTGAGCCAGAGATCTTTAAAGAACAGTCTTATCACTCTGCATAATCAGCCATGGTAGCCAATGGAGAAAAGTGACAGAGAAGTGGATAAGTAGGACAAGAGATAGGGTAGCTAACTTGCAGCTTGACTTAGATTATATCAAACCCTTGAATAGAAATAGTCTCTGATCTGGACAGGTGACTTTGTATACAACCATGCTACTACTACTAATCATTAAATACTTTAGATAATTATGTCTGTATAAGAGTAACAGTCAGACTTTCAGATCCCTGAGTATATGTGCATTAATCTGCTACAATAAGCAAAATGCTACATCGTTACAGAAAAATAAACACTAAACTCCAAACAACAGCATTTCCCTTGACATCTTGTTGGTCACATTTACAAGACTTTCTACAGGAATCTCTAGTTTCAGTGAGACAGTAACTGATCCTACCTGCTCTGCAAAACTCTCTTTCAGTCACCATAGCAACAATTTGCTGTTGACTCCAAATTCCCCTCAGGGCATCATTATTTCAGGATAACTCCTCCCTCCTGCCACACTGCTTCTTTGCTTAATTATTTTGTGAAATCCTGGCTTATCACAGAGATTTTCAATTAAATTAAAAGTAATAAAAATACTAGTTTAAATTGTTCACTTTTTGTGAGTTACATGCCCTTAACAAAACACTTTAATGAAGTCACCCCACAATGTTCCTTCTGTCTCAGTGACCTTGAAGTTCTTGAACATCTGCTTTACTCTTATCTTTTCCTGAAATACTTTAGGCAGATGTAACTATAAAAAAAACTAATTAACCTCAAAAACTCAAGCTCTTAATTCAATTACTCATATGGCTTCCGCATAATTAAAATAGAAAGAAATGTGGTCACATATTGATTTTTTTAAAATACTCCTGGAGGAAAAGAACTTCTACAAATAACTTGTTTCTTTACACCTGAGATTGGAAGTTCAAGGTCAACCCGAATCTATCTCCCTAAATAAGAGAAAGTCATTGGCTGTAATTACTTACACAAAACAAAACTTTCTTCCTGTGTGACTTAGACTGTTTTGTCTTCACTCCTTTTTCATCCCTTTTATGTTGTTTCTAATATATGTGCTGCCCAAATTAAAAACACTGCCATTCTCATTCCATCAGTAGTGAGCACGCGAACATAGGTGGTACCTATATGCCAGTTGAATAACAAGGTGGAATAAAAAGACTAGAAGGGGCTGTTTCTATTGCGGGTGTCAGTGTTATATCTGCGCTGAACTCCAAACACACTCTGATAGGAGATGGCTAAGTTCATAGCTTACTGAAATACAAGCTAGACCTGGGCAGGAAATCCTTTTCCTCTCCCCAGAAAACTTTGAGATTTTAAAAAATTTCCTGTTCCATATTGAAAGCTTCAATTTAGTCCCAAACTTTTTCACCATGAAAAATGATCTTTGAGAGACCCTCCCCCAGAAAACTCTGTTGTGGCTTCAAGTCCCTGCCCTGCCCTGACTCTCAGGCTACTGGGTATTTTGGGGTGGAGCTCACTCAATTTCCCCTTGGAGATGCTCCATTTTATGTAATTCAGGCATCAGCAAAATATGGCTCACGGGCCAGATCTGGCCTGCCAAGCCACCAGATCCAGCTTGCGGAGGCATCAGCGAGCCCCAGGCAGGCTCCCCTGCTTGCTCTGCAGCCCCTCTTGCTGTGCAGATATGCGGCTGCCGGGCTTCCTTTCTGTTTCAAAACTAGAGGGAAGGAAGGAAGTTTCAGGAGCCGCCCTGGCTCCCAGCACAATCCCATTGGTTGGTTTCTACCCAGAACAACAGCCAGCCAAGAAGAACCATGCCCTCTCTCCTCGGCTCAGTTATTCACTAAAGCACATGGCCAGGCAAGGAGGCAGGCTGGCTGGCTAGGAAACGTTTTAAGCTCTTCAAGCCTTAGCTTGACAGGCAGGCAGGCAGGGTGGTTTGGCTGCTGGCTGGTAAGTCTGTTGGTCACAGCTTGCCCCTGGCACTCCAGCCCCTCCCTGCCCCCTGCAATCAACATACCCAAACCCTCTATCTCCCTCCTGCACCCATACCCCTCCCAGATCTGGCACCCCAATCTCCTGTCCCAGATCACAATCCTCTTCTACCTTAGGTCACATCCCAAACCCCTGCACTCCAGTCCCCTGCCCTAGGTCACAACTACCTCCTTCACCCAAACTCCCTCCCAGTAAGGGACTGAGGTGTGGGAGGGAGACTGGAGTCTCCAGTCTCCCTCCCATACCCCAGTCCCTTACCCCAAGCTCCCCCCTGCACCCAACCTCCATCCCAGATCCCGCATCTCCTCCATTATTATCATGGAAGAGTTCAGCTCTCATCCACTTTCCAACATCTTGGAGTGGCCCCCCATCAGAAATTATTGCCCACCGCTGGTGTAATTACTTAAATATTCAGTGGGACAGATAGAGACTGACTCTATGGCCTGGTGGTTAGGGCACTTACCTAGGATTTGAACCTGCATCTCCCATATACCTAGGCCAAACAAAAAAACAAAAAAGAGCTCTGCGTGAGCTCGAAATCTTATCTTGCTCACCAACAGTAGTTGGTCCAATAAAACTATTACCTTTTCCCTGTTGTCCCTCTAATATCCTGTGACCACTGTGACTACAATAACACTGCATGTGATTAATATTTAATTTATACAAAGTGAAACAGTTCCAACAGAAGAAACAGAAAGATCAATCCTAGGACATGCAGTAATTCTGTAATGGTTCATATCAAGGGACTATCTATTCAATGCATGACTTATTTTCTACTTTAACATCACCTTTACCCATCCCCCAAAACTTAAATTTAATACTTACTGATGCCAACAGCTGTTATAAGCTTAATTGCTAGGTCTGGAATTTCACATTGGATAAAAAATGGTTCCAAAATATAGCGTCCAAATGCCAAGGATATCACTGCTGTCGCAGCAGGGCTACAGTAGACAGAAAGAAAGAATAAAAAAATTATAGTTAATCTACAACAGCAGATAAACAACTTTCACAGAGGATCAGCTACTTTATCATCTTCATTATCAAATTAACTGCAATGTGTCCTTTTAGAACTGTGTAAAACCAGAGTGTCTGAACATAGTGGAAGTTCTCAGGAATACGTAATCATTTATGTTTTGCACAGGTACTATTGAATTGTCATCATCACTTTTATCAGCATGGACTGACTTATGACTTAACTGGTTGTAGCATAATCAGAAATGAAACACATTGGGGATTTATCAACAAAGTCCTTTATTCATTCCCTTTAAGTCAAATAGGATCAGGTACCAGATATAACTGGTATTTAAATCCAACATTATAGACGTTTATGTGGATAGAAGTGCAATGTTTGTATGCATCTCATTCTTCACAAGGGATTTTCAACAAAGTTCAGAGGTTCTGCTTTATTCAGATAAGCACCGTGAAAATATCCAACACTTCTACTCAAGTTCTAGAATATTTAATTGGGAATATTTAACTGTGTCACTAAATTGTAATTGTAAATAGGCTTCTGTGAATCAGTTTTGCTTCCTTTCCTGGTCAAAAGATTCGGGTCCCTTACATTACTGGAGAATATTCCTCAAAGAAAGTGAAGGAGTACTTACTGCAGAATGAAATGCGCAGAAAGAAAGTCCATATTACAGAGACAAGTGATTTGATTTCAAGAGCAGAAGATAGCTCACATCAATATATACAAGAATATATTAATAAGGAATATGCCTCCTTCACTTTTTTAAAACCAGGAGAAAGTTAACATGAGGCCTTAGTATTAACCTAGGTATTGACATCAGTTTGCCCTGTTATTCTAGGTTGGATGTAGTCATGGTTCCCTACAGAGTGGAGTTCCAATAATTGTTTCCGGAAATATTATTTCTACCTTCTAAGATGGCTATTTGTGCTTCCATCACCACGTTACAAACAATAAGGAGCTAAAGGCCAGGGATACATTTCATCTGATTTCCCTCGAGTATGGCCCAGCCTGTTCAGATTAATGATATAGTATTTCTACTTCCTCTTGTGGTCAAAATCAGGAAGTACAAAAAGTGCTTGCAAATTCAAACAAAAGAAAAAAGTTAAGTTTACTTTTCAGTCAACATTCATTAAAGGTTTGGCACAGTCCTGAGGATAGATGATGAAAGTTTACGATATTTTATATTAAACTTGTTCAACAATCCCTACCAGAGTATCTTTATTGAAAAGTTTTAAAAACTAAACAAATGGTGAAACCAATAAAAATTAAGCAGGAACATGTTGAAATTGCCCTAAAAATCTCTAGAATTCAGACAGACTTTTACTCTCTGTTTATGGAATTTATACATTGTAAAGAATGGTAACAGCTAATATCCCTGCAATAAAATTTGATGAGACAATTTAAAAATTTTATTGAGAGGTTATTATTGTCTGGTAAATTCCACAAGGGATTTCTGAAAAGAAAAATATTTTCTTAACGTGTGATGTATCCACAATATCACAGATTGTGTTGAGTGAGACTTTAAGCAAGCAAATGGCAAAACTATTATAGAATCTCAGAAACTAAAAAACCTATTTAGTTTCTGAGTTAGATAAAGGAGGGATGCTATTACAAATACTTACCCCTCCCACACTAACCCTGGGTAGGGAGGAGGGGGCAGTTAATGGCTTAGCAAACACTAGGTCCTATTTCTCTTCTCATTTACTTGTCACTATTATGGGGATGTCTGCACAGCAGGGCACAAGCTGAATGAAGCTACACAACTTCAGCTATGTCAACTGTGTAGCTGAAGTTGAAATAGCTTTGTTCGGC